TTGGCTTAAGCCCGGTGTCCACGATGCAAGAACTGTGTCCAAGTTTCGGTTTAAGCCAATCATCTTGCAGCTCTTACAGAAAAGTAGCAGTTTTATTGGCTTAAACTGAAATTTGGACCCAGTTCTTGCATCGTGGACACCGGGCTTTAAACCGAAACTTGGACCCAGTTCTTGCATCGTGGACACCGGGCGCTTAAGGGGATGCTAAAGCCGTCCAAATTACCGACAATTACATTTCAAAGCTCTCATTTTGAAACGGCTTTATAGATCGCAAAATCCTTTTACAGGAGTAAAGTAGAGGTACTAATGAAGGGTGGGATTGTCAAATAATTAGTAATAATTGAAAAAAATTTTTAAATGTTGTCATCTCATAACCTTATTTTCTGATATAAATAGTTGTATACGTAATATGTACGAAATTAAAGTTTCCCACCCTTCAGAAGACGTGCACAAACAATAACGTACCTTTGAAATTGAGATTGAAAGCCTGGAATAAAAATGAGAGCTTTGAAACGATCGTGTATATTTTTCACAAAAATATTCACGCAGAGCAGCAATTATGTCACAGCAGTAGTTCACGGATCTTGCGAGAGATGGCGAGCAATCGAAAAAAGGACAGATGTCATTTCGTTAGACAAAGACAGATATAGGGAAAACAAAATTAGAAAGGTTGACATTATCGACATCGAGGAAGTTCGCCAGTCACTGTAGGATCCCCTTAAGCGCTTATACTTAAACTGCTTTTTCTGCTAAATGCAGAAAAAAAGATCGTGGTTCTATAAAAAGGATCTTAGTAACGACGCTATTGTTCCTAGAAAACAAGTTCTTTTATTGGATACCGGGTGTGGTATGTATTGTACATACAATGAATATCGCAATGTGAATTACCCATAATGGGACACGTTCATTGGATATTTCTCTTATCATGATAACAGGCATCAGCTGGTTCAGTACCGTTGCTGTGTTGCTGAAGTCGTTGAAGCGTGAGTACTGTCGGCATGAAACTTTGCATGCAACTATCAGATGTCGACAGTCGTTTATGATTAAAATATAGGAATTTATTTACTAATTTTTGAACTAAAAGTCGAATATGAATCTGACAAAGATATTTGGACTTTCGAGAGGTGTAAAATGTGCTCTCGATAGAAGCGCGCACGGGTCATTATTCGGTAATGTAAATACTCAAGCGAGATGTAAGAGCAAACTGACGAGGCCTAAGGCTATCGAGACGAATAGATATCGAAAATCAGAGGAAACGATTGGACTATATGGATATTGCTTGTTGGCAAGTAATGACAAAATTATTATCTACTAATTATTAGTATATATATATAAATAGCTATATTTACAGTATAGATAAAAGGATTTATATAACTCAGTGATATTTATCTAGTATGAAATATATTATATTACGTAATATATACATATATTATATATTATATATTTTAGAAAAGCCTTTGACAGTTAATCATACAATATTAATGTGTAAACTTCGATCTCTAGGGTTCAGAGGTTCTGTTTTGCGTTGGATATCCTGCTTCCTATCAAACAGGTCTCAAGTCATAAAGTTTAATAATAGCTTCTCCAGAAGTATAAATGTTTTGTCTGGAGTGCCGCAGGGCTCACATCTTGGCCCTCTTTTATTTGTTTTATTTATTAATGACATAGCTGCTTTTATTAAATTTTGCTTTTTCTTATTGTATGCTGATGACCTTAAATTATACCGTCGGATTAATGGACCTGCTGATGCACTTTTATTACAACATGACTTATTTGAACTTGAGGCCTGGTGTAGGAGGAGCTGTCTTCGGCTTAACGTCTCTAAATGTTTTGTCATTTATTTTTCTCATAGACGTAACTCATATTTATATAACTATATTCTTGATGGTTTATCTCTCTCAGCAGTGCGCGAAGCTCGAGATCTCGGGGTCTTGTTCAGTGCGGACTTATTATTTAATACACATATACAATCAATAGTTTCATCTGCTTATAGAACGCTTGGATTCATCCTCCGATGGGGTAGATTTTTTAAAAATATAACCACTTTAAAATTATTATACTGTACATTAGTTCGCCCCAAGTTGGAGTACTGTTCCATAGTTTGGTCTCCGTATTTTAAATGCCATCAGTTATTGATTGAAAGTGTGCAGCACAAATTCCTGCGTATGGCTGCTTATCGGCTAGGTAATCCCATGTCAATTACTTGCCCCATGACTACTGTACTATATTAGATAGATTAAATCTGCTACGTTAGAAAATAGGAGACAGGAGACTAACCTTTGATCTTACATTTATTTTTAAGCTTCTCAATCACTCTACTGATTGTCCGGATTTGTTGGAACGTATCTATTTTAACATCTCGACTAGAGAATTAAGACAGTACTCCATCTTCCACTTCGGGTATCACCGTACTTTGTATAGCGCAAATTCTTGTGTAAATAGGCTAATAATATCTGCAAGTAATTTTTCCAATAGGGTTGACTTTTTTGGTGGCTCTGTATCAACTTTTAAACAAAAACTTTCTCGTCTACTCTTGTAACTTGAATGTTCTCCATATTATGTTGTAAAATTTTAATTTTATTTTATTGTTCGTTTTTCTTTTCTCTTTGTACGCTAAAGGGTTTATTACCCGTTAATAAAGTTTATTATTATTATTATTATTATTATACATTTTTTGTCTATGTATACATAGAAGAAATAAATAAAATTTAGATATAAAATTTAGCATAATTTTATTACGTATTAATAGATATATTAAGATTGCAATATTTTATAAGTATGATAAATATAAAATATAAGCAAGAAATATAATTAGTATATTTTGAAAATTTAAAAAAACTGCCAGATTCCATTGATAGTTTTTAAATTTAACTTGTGCATGCTGCAATTTCTGTATTTTAGGGAATACCCATCGCCACTTTTGCACTTGGCACATGGCAAATTAAGAGATGGAGATGGAAGCTGGATCTAATAGAAAGTCTAAAGCAACGCACTTCAGCAGAACCAATCGATCTGCCATCTGAGTAAGATTATGATGTTATATTGCAAGCACTATTTTTATTACACCTATCTAATAGAAATTATTTCATTTTAGCTTAAATGAACTAAAAGATAAAGAATATTACCGTATGAAGGTCAAGGGCAAATTTTTATATGAAAGGGAATTTTTGATAGGGCCTAGAAGCCTTATTCTCAATGGAGAGGCGGTGAGCGAAAAAGGCGGTGGAATATTTTCTCGCAAATCAGGCACAGGATATTACGTGATTACACCTTTCAGACTGGAGGATCGGGAGTAATTACACAACGCTTTTATTAATTATTAATTATGAAAAGAAATTATATGGAAAGAATAAAATTCATTTAACGTTCTCTAATTCACTATAGAATTTAGGATTTTTTCTTGATTTCAGCCTGACTATTATGGTGAATCGTGGATGGATTCCTAGACATGATCGCTCGACGTTTAAAATGGGAAATAAAATTACGGACACTGTAGAAATTATCGGCATTATCAGAGCAACTGAAAAACGACCTCAGTTTATGCCTGACAATGCTCCTGCGAAAGGTGTATGGCATTATAGGTAAAGGCGCATGGTTTACTGATTACTTTATTCTATTACTCGTTTGAGTATAAACAGAATTTGAAGAAAGTTACAGAAAACTGTAGAAAACGATATATTCTCCATTACATGAAAATTCTAACATTTATGTTTATTCCAGAGATTTAGATGCAATGGCAAAGGTAACAGAGTCAGAGCCTATATATATAGAATTATTGGCTGAATACGGTACACCTCAAGGTCCGATCGGAGGCCAGACGAAAGTAACTTTAAGGAATGAACATTTAAGTTACATAATCACTTGGTACTCGTTGTCTGCCTGCACGAGCTACATGTGGTTCCGACAATTTGTACAGAAGTTACCTCTCATTTAGATGCATTTAAACAGATATTTACTTCTTTACCTGATATATATACAAAAAAGAAGAATATAGAAATGTAATTTATATGTATATTGTCATAATTATTTTTTAATTATATTATACGCTAAATTTCTGTGTTTTATTTTTTCACATCTTCATGGAAAAATTAAGTACAGTAATGTTGACTAGAGTGCGAAGTAAACAGGTACAGAAATAAACGAATCACGAATCAATGGTCCCTTTTGTCCTTCTCTAAACATCATATCCATAATGTGAACAGCGAAAGAAAACTGAACCAATCTCAATTCTCTTTCGGCAATACCATGCACAATCGTTAATGGTAAATTTTGTTTTTGTAGAACTTGCAGCTAAATATTTCGAATGATACTTAAGACACTGAATGCTCAAATTTTAACTTTTCCAGTAGAGAAATTCAACATTAACCATCGTACTAAATAGAAAAACAAATAGGATTTCAAGTTTTACAAGTAATGTACGCTCCAGGGTAAGCGGGTGTGTGCGTGTCGGTCCGGCGTGTCTTTCATAAGCATCCTCGTCGTGCTGCGGTTTTATTATTCATTGAGCACGCAAGTACGAACCAGGGCGTCGCAAACGGAGTAGGGATCGCAGTTGCTGCTAGGCCTCATGTCTTGCAGGTAGCCCTTATTCTCATTGGCGACGCGACGGGGAATGCGGATGCTGGCGTCTCGATTGCCCACCTCGGCACTAAAATAACGAATTTTGCTGGGTTCATATCTGTTGTTCAGTCTGCGTTCGCTGTTCTTTCCTCCGCGCGGATCGTACGCCTGGATGTGCCTGAGATGTTGCTTGCTGAGCTTGTCGACCGCCTTCTCGATTTCGGCGATACCGTTTTCGCCGCGCATCGCCTTCGTCGAGAAGTTGGTATCGGCACTAGCGTCTCTGGCGAGACTGTCTTCTTCCCACCACAAGCGGAGCTGCATCGGATTCGTTTTCGGATCCAGATTGGTGATCACACCGAATTCTTCGGCAATACGGTGCAGAATGAATCGGGCGATCCACAGATCATCTCCGGCCTTGATGCCCGTGCATGGTCCCACCTGGATGTATAGTAAGAAAACATGATAATAACTCTTCGTAGAGGAAAGATGTATTTTCTTTCCGCAAGAGAGCTTTATAAATTATATCTCTGCGAGACTCTTAGGTTACGGAAAGTTCGTAAATTAAACTTTCAACGAAGTAAAATTTTCAAATTAGACATGCGTTACAACAAAGATCCTAAACTATATTTCTACTACAACATGTAAAGCTAAATCTTCGGAGTTTGTTGTCTAATTAGACTGTCGCGATTTTTTTAATCTATAAGAATTTCCTGATCTTCCGCTCATTTGTCACTGATGAAAGATTGACTTCAAAGTTATGGAAAGACACTATGCGTGTTCTTTTCACTTTCCGTTACGTTGGCTTCAATTTATTCACCTGAAACTCCCATTGTGAAGGCTTCACCATAGCTTTGGTACCCGCGAGCTTCACGCCAGCGTAGAGGCAGGCTCTGTAATGGGCTTCGACAATTTCGCGGCCGATTACCTTGTTGGCGCCGATGCCGCAATCATACTCCATACTCTTATGTTTCCTTGAGGAGCAAAGGAGCGCTTTACCGTTGAAATCTAAAAAAGTATACTTTTGCTTGATGCCAAACCAGGGTTCCTGATCCTTGACAGACTCCATCGCTTGGTTTGCGCGACACCGGTTGTTCGTTTTCGTTGGCGTATCATCGCTGTAGTAAGTGTCGCAGAGCACGAGCTTGTTATTATTACCGGGACGAAAGGGATCATTATAAATCGCCACCGGGTAGAGATATATATCCTCCTTGACTGGATCAGAAAAATGGGCCTGAAACATCGAACTGTTTTCGAGAATCCACGGTGACAGTTCTGGAAAAGATAATTGAGTTTAAAATTCTGTATAGAAATAGCGATCACTTAATAATTAGTTAGTATAATAGTACATAATAGTTGTTATAACAATAAGCAGGGATCATATGTTTACTGCAGGTTATTCTCCAAGAAAATTGTGACTCAATTTTCTCCAGTTACAATTTTTCGCGACCAATTTTATAAAAAACAAATTATTTTTAACTTTTTAATTTTTTGTATGTGTACTATGTTGTATAAACATATAATAGATATTTTAATACGTAAATGGGACAAACGCTCTCACAATATCAATGTTGAAAATAAGGCAAGTAAGAGCGGAACGCCATTGTTAAAGCGAGTATATGTAATTACCTTTTTCAAAAAAGGTAAAAAAAAGACGCCGCAAAAGTACACGCGCAATGTATGTTGTAAATCCAAAACTCTGTGACAATTAGAAAAGGAAAGCGGCACTGCAAGCATATCTTGTGTCCTTCAGATCTTGCCGGAAACTTTCTACTGGGAATTCTCAGTTTATTAATTAAGTTTGTACTTTCTCTTTTCTTGTACCTACGTCTAATTTCAATTTTTCTACTCCTAAATCTAAGGAAAATATTCTGAGATAAAGGTGCCTATACTTATGTATGTGGTCTGTTTAAAAAGTAATAAGACTGAATTTCAATTTAATAACATTAATAAAATATGATTCTACAATTATTTGTATAACTGATGTTTGGGTGACACGTCACGAAAATGGAACATAAGAAAATCAAGCAGCATTATGCGACCAAATTCTGTGTCAAACTCGAGGACCACGGTCTTATACATATAAGACCGTGTCCAGGACAATGCGATGGAAACATTTAAGAAGTTGAAACAGATTTACAGAGATCAAGTTCTATCCCAGGCACAAGATATTTTTAGATGGCGCGGCGGTTAAATTATAAAAATGAATTCCATTCTGGACCAACAATAATATAAACAATTTGGTGATTCAAATTTAATTTAATTGGTCACCAATCATTCTCACTGTCAACTTTTTAAATGTTTCTCTGTCACGTTATCCTGAAATTTGACACAGAATTTGTTACGTTAAACTTCGTGTAACGCTGCTCCATTTTCTTGTGTTCCATTTTCGTGACGTGTCACCCAAACAGTTATACAAATAATTGTAGAATCATATGTATTAATGTTATTAAATTGAAATTCAGTCTCATTACTTTTTAAACAGACCACGTACATAAGTATAGGCAACTTTATCTCAGAATATTTTCCTTAGATTTAGGAGTAGAAAAATTGGAATTAGACGTAGAAACAAGAAAAAGGAAAGTACAAACTTAAATAAGACTTTAGAAGATGTGCTGGATAGGCTCGTGATTATATACCGAACAAAATCAGTTAGTATAAAAGTACAATGTATATAAAAATTTTTCACCTATCACTATCAGATTATTAATACGCTTACCGGAAGGACGTTTCGGCACGAAGCTCAGAGTTTTGGTCTTGCTACATAATTCTTCGCCACTTCTGTCGATCCAGATGTACTGCACCTGGATCTCATTTTCCGGTTGGGGTAGATCGAGGTACTTTTGCAACAAATGAGTCTTATTGTCTAACTTCGTAGCATTCCCCGCATTCGAACTCTGCGTCGCATTTACCGCACTTTCTGCATTCGCCGCATTCGAATTTTTCGGCATGGTACTATGCGACATAGGCTGCGGTCAGCTTCCCTAGTGTAATAAACAAAAAAATATTGAAGATATATAAAAATAAACGACTTCCTCGAAAATGTTGACCTTATAACTATCAATAATTATTATTCATTCCTATTATTAATGTTGAATTTTTCTTCTTACATTCTTTATCTTATTTTACAAATTCTATCTTTCATATCTATAATATTATCTATAATATCTTTCATATCTATAATATTTTGTAGTCTTGAAAACGTTTTATAATAAAGACGGTATAATTAAAATTTAAAAATATATTCTATACATCTGTGGAGGAATATGAAGTATAAGAGGGACAAAGAGGATGGACGAAAAAAAGGACAGAGTGGAGAAAAAGAAAATCGTAATAAAAAGTGGAGGACCAGTAAATTGTAAACTGTAATTTATTAAATAGTAAATAGTAATTGTAAAGAACGTAGAATGTAAAAACGTATATATACCTATATGCGGCGAGGAAAGACGAGAAAGAGAGAGAGTATGAGGAGGAAAAGCGCGGTGGAGAAAAGGAAGAGAGAGCGGTAAGTTGTACGGCCGCAAGGAATAGGTGAAGAGAGAAAGAGAGAGAGAGAGAGAGGTGGGCTATAAAGATAAGTGTTTTGTAAAAGGAGCGGGAGCCCTTTTGTACCTCGCAAAAAGGCAGAAATAAATTATTATTATTATTACTACTCTACTACATATTTTTTACATTGGTTCGATCATTTTTAATTATTTTTTGAATATTTTTTTAGTATTTAGAGCCCGAGAAAGAATCTTTAAAAAATAATTAATTTTTAAATAAATTTTAATAGAAACTTTTCATACTCGCCAAATATTTTTGCGCAGGTAATATAGTAAGTTTAATAAGATTAAGTAAATTATCAGATCCATATTTTTTCCGAGATATCTAAGAAAAAATAAACATATTGATGATAGAAGTTTATCGATTGGTGTTATCGGGTTTGATTTCTCAAATAAGATTATGATAATTGCTCTATAAATTTACGAGTGTCCGTCATATAATTGTAGTTGAGTGAGTCTCTTTAAGTCATAAGCGTCTTTTGAAAATTTTCGGTATCTAACTTAATAGTAGATATTACTTACAGTTTTATACGTATGCTAATTAAAAAATATGCGCATTCTTCTTTTAATTAATAGCGTTAATCGCGCATATATATTCGAATGTCATTAATCTCTAAATGTATTCAGATACACTATATAATCATTCATCTTGAATTGACGTTGAAGCGAGAAAATACGTCATAAGAATTCTTGCAACGTAGGGTAGACCGGGGACAAAAGTAACATTTTGAGTTTAAGATTTTATAACAGTTAAAATATAATATTTACGTAAAAAAGACCTGTACCTTTAGATGTAGAATTTATTTGACTACAAAATTTTCTTGTGCTGAATTCAGTAATGTAACTAGGAAAAAAGTTATTATTGTTTAAAGAATATGAGGAATACTGTTACAACCGTCCCAACCCCCGGGACAATTGTAACAGCAGAGGGGAACGATTGTACCACATCATCTATAAACAAAATAATGGTTATTTAGTAGGTTTATGTAATCAATCTTACGAATTTTCTATAAAAAATGCAACTTTAATGATAAAATAATTTGTTACATGACAATATCAGTATTTTTACATTATAGCAAACAAAAACAAATAATACTGTTTTCTCAACTGAAAGATTATTTATAATCATATATATTTAAAGGGTTAGGTTAAGTTGAAGTTGTCCCCGAGCAACAGGGACAATTGTAACGCTACAACTATTTCCAGGCATTGATGTTACAATTGTCCCCTAATGATATTTTATGATTCGAAGTAAATTTTTTACATAAATATTTGGATGAAAGTCAATCGTATTATGCAAATCATCAACATAAATAATCACTAAAACATATAAAAATAAAACCTTATACCTTCGGCATAAAGAAAGAAAAATATTTCAGATTTTATGCACGTAAGAAAACTTACTTCAGGAAGGAAAAAAGTAATTTCTTCTCCTGCACACGTGCACGTTCCGCGAGGGGCGGCAATGAACTAAGGAACAAATGCCGCTCTATCTAGCGGATTTCGCCTCGCGGTCATACACACGTACCTTTTATAGTTTAAGAAATATTCACGATGTTATAACTGTACCCTGTTACTTTTGTCCCCGGTCTACCCTACATTAAAATAGAAACATTTTTCAATAAAGTAGTGTTTGTAATCGATATAGAGCAGACTTGTAAAACATATCGAAAACTTCTTTTTTTATTTGGGTAA